GGGCCAAGCAGCAGCCCAGAAAAGGGGCTAATGGAAAACTTTTGATATGCATGAATGTGGGATAAACGCAGTGATTTCCAGAGAAAATGAGCAGACCCTTTGAAATTGGGAAGAAATTCTTCACTCTAGGGGTGATGAGRTTTCCCAGAGAAGTTGTGGACTCCCCATCCCTGAAAGTGTCCAAGGCCAGGTTGGACAGGGCTTGGAGCTGGGGCAGTGGAAGGTGTCCCTGCCCATGGCAGGGGKKRGRWKGGRWKGKYYTYMARKTYCCYKYCAARCCAAACCATTTCATGATGAAATCACATCTGTATTTTCAGCTTCTTGTCCCACAGACCTCARTGGGATGTGTTGCCCATGCACTGCCAGCTCCAGATCTCTGTCTGAAGACTCAACAAGTTTGTAGTTCCCTAAAATCTTCCCATCACCCATCTGTAGGTCTGGTTTGTCCCCACAGCTCCTGTAGCACAAATTTCTTGATGCCTCAGGACTATGGCATCAGGTCCTCCAGGCTGGGGATGAACTTCCAGCCGTAAAGAACCATTTCCTTCTTCTTCTCCCTCCATCTCCCCCAGGTGAAGCTTGGGAAGGCCAGGCTTCAAGTTTTGYTCTCCAAACCTGGGTTGTGGGCTCAGACAGCTCCTTCCCAGAGCTGGAGAAAAGTGGAAACAGCAAAACACCAGCGAGATAGAACACACAGTTCACAGCCACAGTGCTGGAGTCCCAATTTCTCTGTCATGGACTGACACAGCTGAGATTTTTTGCACATTAATGTCCTTCCTGMTGGCTGGAGCTTCCCCCAGCCCTGGGAAGGATCTGCCTGACACCAAGGAGGGGTCAGGGCCCTCGGGGTCCTGCTAGCCCAGCCAACATCCCTGCAGAAGGTCTCGTTTGTACGCACACTCCTGTGAATCCAGAGATGCGTTCACAGGAAGGGTGTTTTCGGATCTCACCCAAGGAATTTAGGACTTGCTCTACTGGGTCAGGAGGCCTTAGGTCTGACACAGCTGCTTGGACAACACATCCCTCCAAAACACTGCTTTTCCTCTCCTTCTTTCATAGATGTGGGACCATGGAGTGGGAGGAGGATGGGCTGGGTGGGTTTATGCCCATGCACCTCCTCTCCTTTCCTCCTCCTCCTCCCCATCACAGTCCCCAGCCCCTTCCCCTCTTCTCAGCCATGATAAGCTCACTGATGGGAAAAATGTTGTCACACATATCTCACTTCCATTGTGTGGGAGTTGCTGATAACAGCACGAAGATCTGGACAATAAAGACTCCTGACAGCTTTTGTGTCTGTCCTGGGCATGGGGGGATAGCCCTGGAGGAAGAGCTGAGTGCTTGTGGGGTTTGGGGAAGGGTCCTGCAAGATGTGGTCCTGAGAAGGAGGCTGGAGAGGGGAAARGGCCCATCCACCCTCCTCCTTTGGGGTGCAAAGCCATATCCCTGCATTTCCCAAATTCCACACTGCTCTGGGGCATCTCCAAACATGAGATTTTGGCTTCAGGTGGCTTTGCTGTGGTGCTGGGGARCAGCCCAGCAGCTGCTCAACACGGTGTTTGTTTTGGAGCTTCCCCACCAGCCAGAGCTCCCTGCGTGGGGAGAGGGGGCTGTGCTGTCATTCCGTGAGGAGCTGCTGAAAGAGCCCACAGCAGCTCGCCAGAAGGGTGAAGTCATTTATTTATGCCTAGAAAAGAYGTGTGCTTCATTACCCAGCCTCTGAGGTGCTGGGGCTGAGCCACTGCGAGGGTTTTGTGCTGATGTGGGGAGCCAAGGTCAGCATGGGGCTGTGCCAGCGGCTGCATTTCTTCCTATTCCCCTTTTTGGGGTGTACAAACAGGRCATCCATTTATTCATGTGAAACACAGTGCTGGGGTTTGGCTGGCAGAGGTTCATTGACACAGAATCACACAATCATTCAGGTTGGGAAAGACTTCCAAGACCATTGAGYCCAWCCTATGACCGATTCCCATTTTGTYACCAGCCCAGAGCACTGAGTGCCACTTCCAAATGTCCCTTGGACACCTCCTGGGGACTCCACYACCTCYCTGGGCACACTGTTCCAATGCTCAACAACCCTTTCCATGAAGAAATTCTTCCTGATGTCCAACCTGAACCTCCTCTGGCACAGCTTGAGGCCATTTCCTCTGATTTTACAGCACTCCTAGTTTTTTGGTATCTATTTTCTTACTCTAGTTACAACAGCTGGRAATAACTTTCACAGAAAACTTAATTAATTCCAAGCAAAAGAAAATCCATTTTATAAGTTTTCCAGCTGGACAGAGATCCACCATTTGTTTAAAATTCTGTCCCAAACCTCAGGGCATGTTCTAGATGCTCTCCCCAAAACCTCTCTTTCYCTCTAGAGCACTGGTCTCCAAAGTGAGCAAGATGATCCATCAGAATGGGGGACAAATGTTTTCTTTCTAACATTAATAAATAATACAAARTTCAATATATTTTAAGACCATTGTTGTGGGGAACTGTCTCTCTCCTCAGGCTCCTGTGTCTCATGAGTCTTTTCCTTMTGAGGACTGCGTTGTAGAACATAGCAAATCCAGTTTTTCCTGGATTTAGGCAAAAAATATTTAATACTTTTTGGATCAAACCACATTTCTGGAGGAGAGAAAAAAAGAGGGGTTGGCATTAGCGTTGTCGCTATTTCATGGACAATGAAGGTTTTCCATTCCACCTTGGTAAAAAGCTGCCAAAACAAGAGAGGGACATGATGCTCCATCCCAAAATCATTTCTGTGGTAATTTTGTACCCAGCTCTGCTTGAGATAGCTCCAGACCCTGAGCTTTGGGTATGGGATTGACGGATTCACCCCCTTCCCTCTGCCCTGCCCTTCTCCTTCGATGGCAAGGGGCATCTCTTAACCTTTTCCAGATGGATTTCCAAGTTGTCCACCCGGGATACGAGAGGTTAAACCCTCCCACGAGCAGAGCTGGGTGACAGCATCACCCTTGACTCGGCTTTGGCACAGGGGCGCCGTCCCCTTGTCCCTATAGGCGGCTCCGTCCTTCTGGCAGTGATTTCCCCGTGCCRGTGAGCTCACACACACTCACAGACACACCCAGGCGTGCTCACAGGGCTCGCATTCAGGGGCTCCCCACCTCCTCTCCCTYGCAGCCCCGGCATCCTGGCCCCGGGATGTCATCCTGCCCCTGATAAGGCACAGGGGTGGCTGCCAAAGGAAGGCTCCCGCTCRTTCCCGGCGCCAGGCTGGGTAGAGACAGACGTGTCTGACCCTCGCTCCTCTGAAGGGCCAAAAACAGATGACATCACCCCCTGATCGTGTCCACCTCCCCCCAGAATCCCTATCAGCCCAGAGAGGCTGAGCTTGGGGGAGCGAGGAGGAGGAGGAAGAAGGAAGGCAGGGGGAGGAGGCCGGGAGAAGGAGGGAAGGCGAAGGCTGGAAGCTGCGAGTTGGTTACTTTGGCAAAGAGACAAAGTTCTGCAAAGCTTCACCGGCCAGACTTCAAAAAGGTGGAAAAAAGTGGAGGCTCAGTTCTGGCAGGTTCCATTATCGAGGGGAGCCTTATCTGGCGATGGGGCTGATGGCTCCTGCGAGCCGCAGTGGCTGCTAACCTCTGGCTGAGCTTTCTGAGGCCCCCGAGGAGCCAGAGTGTCACTCAGCGGGGACGAAAAGCGTCCAGGAGAGGGGACTGCATGGAGGCATTGCCACTGTGTTTGCAGAGCTGTGGAAACAAGGATGGGATCTCCAGCATGGAGCCCAGCAGTGCCTCACTGGTTCAGTTCATGGTGGTGGGAGAAGAGAGGGAATCTTCCCCTGCTCATGGTCCGGTCAGAGATGGGGCACATCTCCACGGGTCACTGGTTTTACTGGTTTCCTCCATGGTGASGCTGATGCCCTTGGAGTGGGCAGCAGAGTGGGTTGAGGTTGAAGCCAGGTGTGTAGCTCAGGATTTCAGGGTAGGAGTTTTGCCCACCTCATTGCTTTCACATCCTAGATATCACACTTGGTGTTTTCCTGGGATGAATCTTCCAGCTTTTCTCTCRAAGAGACTTTCATACCCTTTCAAGCCATCTCTCTGCTCACACCTCCAAGACATTTCTACTCCTGCTCGCCCTACACCACCTCCTTTCCACCTCACCACCTCCAAGGTGAGGAACTTGATTGTGGGATTGTTCTCCAGAGCACACCGTGGTGGGCAATGCCTCTTCCCACAGCCAATAACTCTTCCTCCCTGGTGAGGAGCTGCTGGACATGARCTCTGCCTTGGCTCTTTCCCACTCAYGATCCCACTCAATAAATCAACATATGCAGGAAAAGAGGCAGTGATACCCCCTCGGGTGATGTTGGGATGGATTTTGGAATACCTCGCACTCCAGAAGCAAGATTTCAMATGGAATTGCTCCATGCAGGAGCAGGGCAAATGCAGAACCCACCACACTCCCTGTGAGACCAGTGAATTGTTTGAATTTGGGTTTTTCATTTGGGTTTTGCCCACGGGGGTTTCTCGGCCTCACCCACCTTTACCCCTTCACAGAGGTGGATCACAGAATATGGAATGGTTTGAGCTGGAAAAGAGCTTTAAGAGTCATCTAGYCCAGCACTCCTGCAATGAGCAGGGACATTTTCAATGGATTCAGGTTGGATAACCTGAGTGTCACCCACTGAGGTTCACCTTGCTGCTGTGGGAGAGGAAGCGGCACTTCTGGAGGGAAAATTATATCTCTCCTTGAAGAGGATGAATCCTTCCATGGCCCCTACTGAACAGAGGCAGAAATTTAGTTTGTTAAAGAAAGTGAGGAAGAAGAATGGGCTCAAAGAGAGGCTTCAAAGCTGCTTGGAGCAGCCCAGCAGATCCCTCCCCTGCTGCCACTTTGGAATGGCACCCCTTGCTCTTGTATCRCATCTGTCACCCTTGTGCAGATGTTTGGGATCCCCTAGAGCACCTCCAGCAGGATCAACCCCCAAGAGCCCAGCAGGGTGGTCCATCTCAGCGACAAACACAACCGCACTCCAGACCCAGAGGGGACATAGAAATCCGACAGGTTTATTGGTGACGGACAAACGGAGCTACGAGCAGAGTCATGGAGGTGTCCAGGGGCAGATCCTATGTACRTTTCTGGCTGCAGGTCACTGGGCTGGCTCTCCTGGGGCTGTCACACCACCCTGGTGTGGTCACTGTCACCGGCAGCAGCGCAGGCGGCCGTTGCTGCAGCTCCCTTCCCAGCGCTCCATGTGGAAGCAAAGCCTCCGGCAGTGGCCACGGGAGCTTCTGCACTGCTGGGTGTCTGAAAGGGCCCTGGCTGCTGGGGAAAGAGGACAGAACATGTGGTCAGGAGAACTGGAACCCACTCAGAGCCCCAAAACTTACTGGGAGCCCCACTGGCATTGGTGGCTGAGCATTTCATTCCGTGACAGGGAAATTCAGGTGAGGAACAGATGTTCTTGGGAGGAGCTCCTCCATCCAGCGAGCTCTGGGAGTCTCCCAATGACTGGCCTGGGTGACACAGCCAGGTTTGGGTTCGCTACGTCAGGTTAGATGAGTTGGGTGAGGCTGGTCAGCATCAAAAGGCAGAGAAGTGCTTTTTGGAACAGGTGGTTTCCTCTTGTTTCACTAGATTTTTTTTTGCTTTATGGGGTTTTGTTTGCAAGGGTTTTTAAAATCTTGCTGTTTTGATAAAAAGGKGATGTGCTGCTCCTCTTTAGACACAGCAGAAACACCAAGTTTGGGGATTCTGGAGGGTTTACTACTAGTGGAGTGGGTAAACCCTTCTSTCTCCCCTAATTATCTCCCAGATTTCAGTTAAGTAAATGAGAGCATAAACAGGCTGAATAAATAAATCTCTTCTTCTTGGTCATCATGTTTGCCTTCTATGAGAGTGGTGCCACCAAAATCCTGGTAGCATCACAGTGACCTCACACGCGCATGAAACCCGAATTCCTGTCATATGTACAAAAGCAGGCAGYGAAAATGACAAGCCAAGGAATATGTTCCTATTAAAAGAGAGTCCCAGAAGAAAACAGACAGACACAAAAAAGTAAACTATCTGCCTTTACTCCTTCTTTTTCCACCTGAAAGATGGTTTGTATTTATAAAATCRAAGAAAAACAGAATGATTTGAGTTGGAAGGAACATTRAAGATATTCTACTTCCATGAGCAGGAACACCTTCCAYTATCCCAGGYTGCTCCAAGCCCTATCCAAMCTTACCTTGAACATTTCCAGAGATGGARAGTCCACAACACCTTTGGGCARCCTGAGCCAGGGCCTCACCACCCTCACAGMCAAGAATTTCTTCCTAACATCTGATTTACATCTGCCCTCCTTCAGCTTAAGACCATTCACTTTTTCCCTTTTATTCCATCCCTTGTCCCCAGTCCCTCTCCAGCTCTCCTGGAGCCCCTTTAGGCACTGGAATGGACTCTCAGGTCTCCCTGGAGCCTTCCCTTCTCCAGGTGAGCACCCCCAGCTCTCCCAGCCTGGCTCCAGAGCAGAGGGGCTCCACCTTTGGAGCATCTCTATGGCCTCCTCTGGACTTGTTCCAGCAGCTCCACGTCCTTCTGCTGTTGGATCCCAGAGCTGGAGACAGCTTTGCAGGTGGGAACTCACCAGAGCAGATCAGAGGGTGAAAATCACCTCCCTCAACCTGCTGGCCATGCTGTCATCTTTCTGCATTTGCCACATCTGTGTTCCACTCATGGAGAATTTAATGGGATTCTCCTTGTTTTGTGGAGGATGAGGCTCATATCCTGGTCAGGAGCAGAGCTCAGGCTCCTGGCTTAGGTTCAGCCTTTCTGGGTGAGTTTCGAGGGCACGGAGAGGAGGGGACACACAACCTGTGAACTTGGGACAGCTGCAGCCAGGAACTTCATGGAGACCATGAAGAAATTTCATGCTTGGAAGMAAGAGTCAGGTCAGCCTTGACATGAGGGCCCCTGTCTTGTCCTTTTTTACCTCAGGGTGGGATCCTGCCTTTTCTCTCTCYACARTCCTGCAGAAACCAACCCCTGTGAYRAGATTCTGTCCTTACCCGGARCGCCCTGGAGGAGGAGAACCAAAATGACTGCAAAGAGCAGCTGGAGAATCCGCATGGCTCGAGGCTCCACCACGAGGAGGAGGGAAGGGCCGTAAAGAAAGGAAGAAGAGGGAAATCCTGGATTTATAGTGCCCAGGAGGGGTTGTGTAACGCTCCCAGAGTGGAGGGAACTTTGTCAATCTCAGGTGCATTTCAACACGACAGCAAACAGTKGCACGGAGTGTGCCTGCTCTCAGTCACACCGTGTTACAGACAAAATGTGTCAAGGGGAAGCAGAGGGGAAAAAAAAAAAAAAGGGAAAAGACCAAAAAGAGGGGGGGAAATATCAGGGTTTTGTTGATAAACAGCGCTGAGCACTGGGGAGTCTGCTACTGCTTGCTGCTGGAGACAGGATGTTGGGACTGACCCAGTCTGGCTCTGTGTTTGTAGGCTCGAGCATGTGATGTTAAAATCCAGTCCAAGTGTTTGCAGTATCGAAGTGTTGGGTTTTGTTTTTTTTTTTTTGTTTCTTTGTTCTTTTTTTCATTTCCAGCTTTCACTCTCTGTGTTTAGCACTGTCACAGTCGAGTGTGAAAAAATCCAGAGTCTCCTTCTTAGCACTCCCCAACACAAAAGCTGGCTTGAAAATAATGGGATCCTTAAAAAAATCATAGCTCTGCTTCAATTTCCCAACTTTTAGGCTGCAAAGAGGCTGCTTGCCAAGGTTTTGTTTACAATTGCCAAGAAAAAATGGCAATACACTGTTTTATTCATTTATGTACGTATTAAATGTGAAAGCTGGAATACCTCCCTGCAATATTGAGTGATGTTAGGAAAGCTCGTGGATTGCAGCTCTCCCAGGGACCCTGGCARGCTCTCAGGTTTGTACCAGCTCCCCAGGTCAGTTCCAGGAAATCAGGAGAGGTGAGACCTGCGTCTCAACTTGCGAAAACAACGCAAAGCAAACAACAAGCAGAAACATCCCGCGACCCATAACAAATGGAGGAAGAGGAAATAGAAACTTTGTAAAGGGTTGNTTTTTTTTTACAGTAATGACGCAGTGGAGGCCATCACCGAGTCTTCCCTTTTCCCTTCAGAAATCACCTCTTGGGCTTTTTCCTTGCAGGCTGGATGCCAGGTAGTGCTGGAAAATGCAAACACCACGTCCTTCAGGCTGCTTGACCAGAGCAAGGCTCACCCTCATCAAACAGTGCAGATAAAGGGCCCTTCACCACCCGGACTTTGGAGCCAGGGACATGGAGCACTTCACCAGGGTGTCCTGCAAACTGGCCACATGCAGCCTGGGGATGGAAAATGGGTCTGGAATTCCACCTGGGTGAGAGCTGGATGCAAGAATGTGTATGGAACCTGTGGAAAAGTGTTGTGCTCTGCCTGTGTGGTGGCACTGTGTGGGTGAAAGGCCGCAATCCACCCTGGGCCTCTGAGCGGTGGTGGAGCGATATTTCATGGAATCAGAGAATCATAAAATTCTCTTGGYTGGAAGGGACCTTAAAGATCATTTGTGYCATGAACAGGGACACATTYCAGTATTCCCATTTGCTTCAAGYCCTGTCCAASCTGGCCTTGGACACTTCCAGRGATCCAGGWGCAGCCACAGCTTCTCTGRGCRCCCTGTGCCAGGCCCTCMCCACCCTCAGAGCAAAGAACTTCCAAAGCAAAGAATCTGGGCAGAGTTTATCCAGCAGAAAGGAGATGGCAGTTCTTGAGCTTCATTCCAAGCTGTGGATGCTGCTCTGAGTGTGTGACCTGAAGTGCCTGACCGTGTGTGTGCAGATGGTTTGGTGTGGAGGCTGGAGCCAGGGCGGCCACGTGGCCACGGCGCTCCCAGGGACAGATGGCGACATTCCAGGTGTTTGTCTCCAGCTCAGCTGCTCTCCCCTGGTGGGAACAGCACCATGGCAGAGGGTGAGCTGTGCCTGGAGCTTTTTGGGTGCTGCAGGATCCACGGGGACCAGGCTCCTTCCTCCATGCCACCGCAAGGCCTTGCTCGGGTTGAGTCGCAGAACGTGCCTCGGGAAAAAGAGCCAGAGCTGGACAGTACCAACAAAAAACAGATTTCCTCCAGAAAGCAGGGGCAGGAAATCTCTGTCCCTGGGGCAACTGTTTGAACGACAGCTGGTCTTGCTCCCTCCGATGTGGTCTCGCCTCTGGTGATCACACTGGGGCTGGTCCAGCAGCCTCCCACCCGTCCCTGCTCCCCAACCTGCCAGCAGATGTCTTTTTTCAGAGCTCACCACGCACAAAGGCTGATCTGTGCTCGGACACGTGGCACGGGAATCGGCTCCTGGGTGCTTGAGAGGTTTTGGGGCTGGGAGGAGCCAAATCAATCTATATCCGCTCTCCGGCCCCARACAGGGGGGATGTTTCCACTGACTTCATCTGCCTGCAAGCCAGGACCTGAGCAGGCTGATTTTCAAATGCATCCTGGGATAAATTTTTGCCAGCAGAAGGAAATCCTTAGGTGAATGAACCCTTTTGCCAGCTTGTGATGCCACCTCCTACTCCCAGTTCCACCGATGGCTTTTTACCAAACCAGTTAAGTCCTGATAGAGCCTGCAATTCAGCCTGGGAAGAAATGATCCTGAGCTCAGCTCTGGGCTCAGCCCTGGCCCAGAACCTCTCCTGTGGCTCTCATTCCAGACCACTCTTCATGGCTTGCTCAGAGCAGGTCCACATCTGTCTTATGCTGAGGCCCCCAGAGCTGGACACAGGGAAATTCTGGTTTTTGCCCCAAATGGACAGAGCACATTTGRTGCTTTCACAGCTAAGTTCTCCCCCCACCATCTCCATGGCCACATCCATKTGTCAATTATGGATCATTCCTGGCACGTGCCCACCTCCAAACTGTGCCAAGGACCAGCATGGCAAAGCATTCATTCTCTRTGAATGAACACCGAGTGTGAGTATCCACTTATTTCTGAGTCTCAGCTCCATGTGATTGGATTTATTCATATAGATACCACCTCTGAATCCTGTTTTATCCCCCCAGCACACCCTGGAGCTGGGCTGTGGTGAGGTGGTTCCTCTCACCCCACAGGAGTGGGTGGAAGTTTGGAATGTGACCCCCTCTGTCCTGTGTGGGGGGAAGGACGAGCCAGGCACCCCAATTTATATGGGATTGCCTGGGATGTAAGAGACAGCTGGGATCTGAGGGGCTGCCCATGGCTGTTGGCACCAGGCAGGAGCCCATCCAACACCAYCCTGCTCCTGACCCCACATCTCCTCTCACAATGACGTTTTTAGGGCAGGAGCACGAGATTTGGCTCTCTCTGCCAAACAAACACTGGCTTGTTGCCTGGGAACAGCAAACAAATCCCAGCGAGGGAATTCACGCTGTACTTTGACGGACTGAAATCCCCGGTTATCCAGGAGAATTGGGCTGCTCAAGAGATTTGGCGTGAGGATAGGGCTCTATCCTGGCTGTCTGTAGGGCTGCAGACATCCCAGATGTACATCCCAAGATTTCTGGATGATTTTTGCATCTCTTTTAGGTGTAGGTCTCTAGGGTGGTACTAAAGAAACCCTATTTTGTAGCATTCTGAGATCTATCAGGTACAGGCAGCTGAAGATCAAAGCTCAGTCAAGCYTTTCCCATAAAAATCCTCTTTCTCATTTGGCTTTCACCTGTGAGAAAAATGTCTTAAAGATTAAATGTTTCATGTCTTTCCAGAGCAGAGCTCTGGCCTGGTTTAAWTTCTCACCAGCCTGCATCTCTCAAGGGATGGGAGATTTCACTTTTTCATTAATTCTGGCACCCTGTGTCCCCCATGAGCTTTACAGTCCCCTCCACTCCTATACCTGGCAGGTAAAGGGTTGGATTCAGCTGAATTCCAGTGACTGTGTATGGAAATGGTCCCAGCTGGGCAGGACTGGTGGTCATGGGTGGAAATCCTATGGCAAAGGATCACACTGGGGATGGCTTTTACTGAGTGCCTCATACTGAGCTATTGCTGAGTATTTTTTGGGTGGAAAGGGTTGAAAAATGGTGTTTGAGCAGCAGTGGGGTCCCATGAGCAGCTCTGTGCTGAGTGTATGGACATGGTCAGTCACAGAGGAGTCTAACTCTTCCCTAACCACGGCAGGGATTGGAACTCGATGATCTTTAAGGTCCCTTCCAACCCAAGCCATTCTGTGATTCTGTGATGATTTTATGATTCTGTGATTCTGCAATGATTTTATAATTCTTCCTACCCGGGGTTACAGAACACTCCAGTTAGGGATTAATTGATTTGAACAGCATTTCCTGTCATGCACTTACACCAAAGCAGCTCATGCTGCTGTTCAAGCAGCTCCCCATGAGCTGAGCTGGGTGCTTTGCCCCAGGGAAGTTCAGGGGTTGAGAAACCACATCAAGAAACAATTTTACAAGGTCTGAAAGTGCCATTTTCCACCATCCACCATATCCTTTTTGCTTTCTCTCTCCTCCCTCTGTGTGGGACCAAGTAGCTGGAAGGGAATTCAGTTCCTCTTATTAATCAGGCAGAAATTATGATTTTTTTTAATGTTGTTGGGTTTTATTTGTTTTTTTTTGTTGTTTGTTTGTTTGTTTGTTTTTTAAGGTGATTTTCACTGAGATCAGCAAACAAGGGAACACACAGCAGTGGGACAGCAGGACCAAACCTGTTCGCACATTACTGCCAGAGGAACTGTATTCCCTACAAACTGAGCATTTCCACCTTTCTTGGTTGAGATCTGATGGGCCAGAAAGTCCAAAACCATCTGGGACATGTGCAAGGTGAGCTGCATGARTCTTTTCATTTCATTTCCCCAGGAAACCAGGCTGTGACCACGATGGCTGAGCCTTCCCAGATGAGGGCACGAATCACGAGCCCTGTGGATGAATGTGAGAAATGAACTGTTTGCTTTGGAGAGGAGCCTCGGTCCAAAGCCCTCCCCGAGCTGTCCTCGTACATCAGCGTGCGTCAGAGGGATGGGCAGGAATTTGGCTCTGGGCTCAGCCCCCTGTGCCTGTTCTCAGCATCAATTCCCAAGCCAGCAGCCAGCTCGGGGTAATTTGGCTCTCCTGAGGGTTCATCCAGCTCCAGGGGATGTCCAGGGGAGTTCTGGCATCTCCCTGTGTGTGCTGGAGTCCCACTGCTGACCCAAGGAGAGTAACTGCTGCTCATCAGTGAATGGAAACTCTTGGATGAATGAATTACTGGAGCTCTGGCACTGGGTCCTGACCCTGGTGAGGTCAGTGGGAATATTCCCSTTTGATTCATCAGAACAAGAATTTYGTCTCCCAKGGAGGASTTTTCCCTGGCTCWGTGTGAGCAGAGCTCACTTGTTGGCGTTGCTCTCTCGTTACGTCATTGTTTCCTTGCTTTCATAGAAATGATTGACCCAGAGAGAAATATTTTACCTGGAAAGGGAGGCCAGGAGCTGACAAAGGCAGGGGAGTGTCAAAACTTTATTCTGAAAAGACACAGAAGGGCTGAGAGTGGATTTGGACAGATAATTTAGGCTGAGGGAGCTCATAGGAAGAAAGCTGCTAGGGACAAAGAGACTGATTTCCTTAGGGCTGGGTGACCAAAAGGGAAAGGAGGGGCACCAGAAGTGCAGTCCATGGATGGAGAGGGCAGCTCATCAGGGATATGGGACACAGCTTTCAGATTCCCCTCTCCACCTTGTTTAAAATGAGTAAACCTGGGATTTTAGGAAAAAAAAAATTCTTCCCTGTGAGGGTGGTGAGGCCCTGGCACAGGGTGCCCAGAGAAGCTGTGGCTGTCTCTGGATCCCTGAAAGTGTCCAAGGCCAGGTTGGATGGGGCTTGGAGCAGTCTGGGATAGTGGAAGGTGTCCCTGCCCATGGTTGGGGTTGGAAGGAGATGATTTTTAAGGTTCCTTCCAACCCAAACCATTCTGTGATTCCATGATTTCCTTAAAAACCTGGCACAGCTTGAAAAGTGGATATGGGGGAAGTCTTGCCTGAAAAGCACAGACCACACCCACCTTTATGTCAAACCAGGCATCTTTTGCACCAAAAGTGATGCCCTAAAGGCTTCCCCCATTGCAGCTGTTTCCTCTGGGAAGGGAAATAAAGGGACTGAGTCACCCTGGTGTTGTGGGGTGGTGAGGGCTGCTGTGTCCACTCCTGGTCAGTGGCATCCCACCATGGGCAGCATTGCTGACTCACAGGTGGGCACTTGCTGTTGTGTTAAACCTCAGGTTTATTGCTCTCAGGTAAGGAGAAAGGCAATTTTTCATCTGTACATGCCAGACAACAGAATCCCRAAAGTGTGACAAATAATTTGGGTGGCCCCAGTTTCTTCTTGTCACAATGTTTCCTAAAAAGTCACAGCAAAAGCAAATTGTTGAGGAGTTTATGAGTGAATCCACAGCCGTGTCCTCCTGGGGGAGCAACAGTCACAGAAACCCCAAAATCTCTTTCCCAGCAGCTGTTTGGCCATGCCAGTGGAGGCTGCAGCTCTTCACATGCTGCAGCTGGCTCCTTTGGAAACCTTCAGCTCTCTGTGGAGGCAGGTGATGAATTTTTGCAGCAGAGAATGATGGGCTCGAAGCAGAACTGAGCCAGGTACTCGCCAGAAATGCAGGTCCCCACTCGGCACAAGCCCCCTCCGTGCTTACAGCTCTCCGGCCCATCAGCATCCCCTGGACAAAGAAGCAGCAAATTGGTGGATAAAATTCCTGGGGTTTTTTCTGGCACCATGAGCCCAGCCAGCCAAGCCCCTGGGAGCACAAAGAGAGCCTGGGAACCTCGAGCACAGCTGGGATCCCTATCCCACAGGACAGGTCCAGACATCCATGCTGAAAATCCCAAGTTGCCAAGCCAGCCTCCCTCGAGGAAGGTTTTATCATGGAGTTGTTTTCTTGGGACATTGCATGGGGAGTTAGAGGGGGTGTGTTCCCCCTGCCAAGGAGGCAGCTGCAGCCTGAGGAAAAGCAGGAGCATTTTACCAGAGTGCAGGGCATCTCCTCTAGGGTTTCTCCTAACCCCTTGATCCACCCCATTTTCACAGCTTCTTCCCTGCTCGATTTTGTATTGCCCCAAGGGATTAAATCACACATTTTCCCAAAGCATCTCACCCAAAAAACACCTTTCCCCTGTCCCTGCAACATCACACAGAGAAGGAAGAGCATCCCTGCTCCCAGATATCCACCCCAGGCCTTCCTGCTCTTACCGTGCTGGGCCAGGGAGATGAAAATAAAAACAAGCACAAGGATCCTCATTCCTTTGGCTCTGCTGGAAAATCTCAGAGCTGGCAGTGAGAYTTCACAGAAGCCTCTGTGTGCTGCTGGCATGCTGGATGGCATCCGGGAAGAGGGAAGGAGTAGGCAGGAGTTAATTATATTCCAGCCCCAAGGGTAACATTTGCTGCTGAGAAACACTTTCGTGTCGTTCTGACCCAGCGCTGCTGCTCCAAACAATGTCGACTTTTTTTCACATTCACTGGTTACCGGCCTCCCTGATTCCTCTCCTTGCAGCTGGCATTTTGGGCTGGTAGAATTCCAAGTGGAAAAAAAGAGGCTCAGAAGGATGTTCTGCCCCTTCACACAGCCTGCAAAATCCCTGGGAAGTGACAGGTAGGAGGGAAGCAACCTGCAGGAGAAGATTCCTGAGGAGCTGCAAGGAGGAGAAGGGTGCAGGCTGGGAGTGATTAATTTTTCATCTGAGCTCGTGTGAATATTTTCCCCAGCTGAAACCTGGGTGTGATTTTTTTCCCCCCCAGCTTTGGCTTCTGAGGAATTTGGGAGGCTCCATTCCTGAGTGTGATGAGCACATGGTGTTGGTGGAGGAGGTGTTAGTTCAGCAGTGCACCCCGGGGTGGTAAATCTGTGGTAGATGTGCAGCTCTGGCTGTAAAATGTGATATTCCATTTTATCCTGGCCCTGCTCTTTGCTGTCCCCTCAGCCATGGTAATAAAACTGCTCTGTGAACACATCTTAAACTGACAGGAGAAAAAGCAAGGTTAAAAGTTCCCTTCTCCCTAAAAAAAAAACCCGAATAAAATGACATGACAAAAATAATAGAATCATTTAGGTTGGAAAAGCCCTCTAAAATCATCAAGTCCAGCACTACCAAGCCCACCACTAAATCATGTCCCCAAATGCCACATCTAAATGGCTTTTAAATCCCTCCAGGAATGGGGACTCCACTACTTCCCTGGGCACCCTGTTTTAGTGCTTAACTACCTTTTCCATGAAGAAATTCCTCTGATGTACAACCTGACCCTCCCCTGGTGCAGCTTGAGGCCATCCCCTCTCCTCCTGTCCCTGTTCCCTGGGAGCAGAGCCCGACCCCCTGGCTGTCCCCTCCTGTCAGGGAGTTGTGCAGAGCCACAAGGTCCCCCCTGATCCCCCTTTTCTCCAGGCTGAGCCCCTTTCCCAGCTCCCTGAAGTGTCCAAGGCATGACTGGAGGTGGCACTCGGTGCTCTGCTCTGGGTGACAAGGTGGGGATCGGTCACAGGTTGGACTCGATGACCTTGGAGATCTTTTCCAACCTAAATGATTCTGTGATTAATTGTCCTCAATCCTGTAAAGCATCCAAGCACAACGTCAACRTGGTAAATAAGATTAGGCTGGTAAGAAGGATTAGGGGATGGGGTTTCCAAGGATGAAACAGCAAATTTTTGTGTAATTCTGCATGTGGGTGTAACAGCGAGACATTCTGCTTTTATCCATAAATAAATGACTGCTGTACCTGTTTGTTTAGCATTTATTGCCTTTTTTAGATAAACATCACCTCTAGTTAATTACACACTTGGCATGTTGAGAACACCAGACACCTCTGAAATGCTCAGAACAAAACTTGTTTGTTTTCTCAGCCACACATTTCCATGGTTTTCTGCAATCCCATGAGGTCTTCATCACATTTCTGTGCAGCACTTCCATCCTCTGCGAGGGCAGAGTCCCTCTTGCTCCTGCACACATCTGATTTCTGGGGGCACACAATGACCCCCCTCATCTTGGCAGAAGTGGAAGTTGGATGTCGTGTCTGCAATTCAGAGGGTTTGAGTCAAACCAGAAAATCCTGACACCATCTGAACCACCCCATACAGAAAAATGGCTGGGAAATTGTGGTTGCTGTGTCTCCAAAAGCAAAGACACAAAGATGGACTTTGGGGCCTATCAGAGCATTTCTGTAAAAGAAATGCTTGGAAAAAAATGCTCTTTCTGTAAAAGAAACCAGCTTGGAAAAGAATTAATGGAAGAAGGGAGACTGTAAAGCTGTGAAGAAGATGGATGCAGAATGACTGCACATCAAGTAGGTGGCACTGAATAAAATTATGAGGGATGAGGTTTAAAAACAAATGGAAGGAATTCCTAATTTCTGAGGGGAAAATCCAGTAAGGGTTTTTAAACAAGAGGATGCCAAAATCCAAAAATCCTGAGCTGCAAATTCGTGAAAGCCAGGAGAACAGACACTGAAGTGTAACAATATGGCTGTGGTCACTTCACCATATTACACACGGAGTAACTGTGTGGAAATATCTCCTTCTGGCCACAGACAGATCCMGGATGCAGGATCAGAGGAACCTTAGGATGATCACAGCTCTCTCTAAAGTGATTAATCATTAATGACATATGTTAACTATTGAGGAGCACCAAACCCAAGCAAGTCTGGGAAGGATTAAATAAATTAGCAGGGGAGAGGTCTGCTGGCACCTGTTAAGCACAGCAGGGTGGGTGCAGCCAGCAGTCCCTCAACAGGTGATTATAGGAAGATTTTCCAAGGAAGGAGGACTCTCTGTGGGCCAATTTTTTTTTTAATTTATTTTTTAAAGAAATTGATTTAATTTTGGTTTATTTTATTTCAGTTGGAGAAAGAGCTTTAGGTTATTTTGGCCAGGTCCAACTGCTCCACACTGATGTCAGTGGAGGAACACAGATCTATCTGTGTACATGGGAGGCTTAGACCCCRTTCCTGGAAAGAGTTCAAGGCCAGGTTGGATGGGGCTTGGAGCARCCTGGGATCTTGGAASGTGYCCYTGCYCATGGCAGGGGTTGGAACTGGATTRATCCTTAATGTTTTGTCCAAYCCAACCCAATCCATGATYCTATGAWTCAGAAATAAAGGGAACAATTTTGTTTTKCTGAATTTGGCCATTTCCCCACGGATTTTGTCACCCACATACCAACACAGCAGGTTCTCCGGCGCCGGTAGCACGTCCCGAAGGCAGCAAACGGCTCCGGGCAGGATTTCAGATGGAAACAGTAGCCATGGTGCTCCAAACAACGCAAGGTGTCCCTGGGCAAGCCGAGACCTATGGGGAGAATGGGATTCCTAGCTGTGCTGCAGGATCAGCCCTTTCTCCTGGTCTTCCTTCTGCTGAAACCCCACATACCCCAGTTAGGGATCTGACACAAACACCCCCAAAACCCAAGGCAGCTTTTCCAGAAGTTTTGAGGAACACATGGAACCCCAAAGCATTCCAAGGAAGGTATTTTTGTACAGCTAGAGCAAAACATAGAAGTTGATGCTGAGTTTCTGAACACATCATGCTGTAGTGGGAGGGGACAGCCCAGCCTTGGATGCTTCTAAGTTCTGGGACTGCAGTGCTGCAGGCTGGTCATGCAAGGGACAGCGTGGTGGTCACATGCCCTGAAGATAAAATTATTACTTTAAAAAGGCCCCTAAAAGCAGGATCTGGCCCAATTAGCAGGAACAAGCAGTTTGTCCATTTCCTTTTTTCTCTGCAAGCCTTTCTCAGAGGTGAGGAGCTCCATTAAGCATGAAGAACAGGTAGGATAATAAAAGCACAGCCAGAAAAYGAGTCAGTGCAGCAGAAGGGCTGAGGAAGGGGAATCAGAATATTCAGGGAACTGAAGTCAGTGGTGTACTTCAACCCGAGAACATCAGGGAACACCTCTGCTCTCTTCTGCCCCATACAAAGGAGAAAATTTTTAACCCTGGGGTTAGAAGGGGCAGGTGATTTCCATGTTGCCACCTCCCAATAGTGCCACAAAGTGGCATAAAGACATTTCAAAGGTTCACAAGAGCCAACACCTATCAGAGGCATCTGTGGGAAGATTCTGATTTAACACCTCTCGCCATAGGTTCATTTTTCCCTTCTGCTTCCAGACTGAGAAATAGGGAACTGCTCTAAGAAAAGGAGCTGAGGGGAATGTTCTGTATCACACCAGCAAGTTGTGCCTCTTACCCATGCAAACCCCAGCGTGGGTCTTGCCCCTTACCTGGAACAGCCTGGAGGAGGAAAAGCAGGAGAGCCATGAGGCAGGAGAAGAGCTTCATGGTGGAAGATCTCAGCTGCACTGTGGAGACAGGATCACAGCRCCAGAACCTTTGAGCAGGGGAGGAGGGAGCTCTCTGGCATTTATAGGGCAATGGGAACAGCTCTGGCCATGTGGGGACCTTGGCAGGGGTGACAGGGGAAGGCAGAGGGTGCAGCCTGACCGCTGCACACGGCTAAACCTGAACAATGGCTCGGGGGCACCAAGGCAAGGGGACAAACAGCTGTGCCTCTCTGCCTGGCCACTGGGAAGGCTCTTTCTCCATGTCCATCCCCCTGGAGAGCATTGCTAGCTTGAAGGATCCATGTGGATGGTAATGGGTTACCTGGAGGAAATTTGCCATCATTGGGTGGGAGAGAAGGCAGCTGGAATATCACCGGATCATTG